TATTCATTCATTTTTTCCTTAAGAATATCCATCCATCCATCCATTCATTCATTAATGAATTTCTAATTTTAATAAATGAATGGATCTATGGATGACAGTCTCAGTGAGTGAGTCAGTCGGTCAGTCAGTCAGTCAGTCAGTCAGTCAGTCAGTCAGTCAGTCAGTCAGTCTCCGTGAGTGAGTGAGTGAGTGAATGGGATTCAGAACAAATTCTAAACATGACAATCTTTCACTTGCACCCATTTATTCCTTCATTTATCTAGATATTGCATCTAATGGTATGATGATATTCACCCAAGTTAGGATATGCCTGACATCTTTTTTTGAGGGATCTGTTGGCTTGATGAGGAAATAGCTTTTCCTTAATCGCCATCCTGGGAACCAGAAAAAGTAAAAACATTGAACCAAAATGCTGAAGTTTTATTACTTTTCTCATTGTCTACAGTGTATTCATAAAATTACTGGTTGACTACATGCATAGCTTAAGTATAGCAGTTCAAATAAAGACATAGTTTCTTACCAATATCTGGTAGTGGCTCGACAATTTCCCAGTTTGGAACAGATCTAAGGAACATGGCAACATGTTGCATTGCCTGCTCTGGTGATTAAAAAAAAAAGACAAGTACTGTAGTACTACGAGAAATACCAGATTGTGAAACAGGCTTTTCTTATGACAGTCATGTCGACTTTTCTATGATTTTATCACCCATTTTCATTGATAAATCCCAAACATTCCATGTGTAGTCTTATGTAGTTTATGTGTATGCCAACATTTTGGCTCCATTTTGATCACATACCTGTACACATGGAATGTTTGGAACCAATAAATGAAGCACTCAAGTGAGGCGCCAAGGTACTTTCAAAGGATTATTGAAATTTGAACCTTGCAATCTCAACTGAGTGCTTTGTGTTTGACCAGTGAACTGATGTATGGAAAATGGTTTGAATGCTTCCCTACAGTGTTCCTACAGTACTGTATATAGAATAATTTTCTTCTTAAGAGGTGTATGTAGCATTATTATTATTATATTGAATTTCTACAACTACAATGTGGCATACATTTAATAAGTGTTTACCTTGAAAATTCTCTGAGTATTTGACAGGGTCTAAGAATTTTTTCACTGAAATGTGTCTAGAAAGGAGTGGGTTGGCCAGGATAAAATGTAAATAGCTCTAGAAGAAATAAAAACGAAGGTATCTCTATGTATTTGACATAAGAGTGCAAAACGCACAAGTGATAAAAAATAAAAATGAATTTTACAGCAAACTTTTTAAAACAAATTTAATTGATTAAATCACAGTCTTGTAATTTAACAAATTGACATCAGATTTTTATGTGTCTGTCCTCTTATTGACAATAAATTGTGTCATCACATTGTCAAAGAAACGTGGATCCATGTGAATGAATCCGCATACTTCTTTGACTTTGTGATGGCGAAATTTATTGTCAATAAGAGGAGAGACACATAAAAATCTGAAGTCAATTTGTTTTTTTACAATAACAAAAACAACAAGAAAGACGCTAAAGACTTCTCTTTTCTAACGATCAAAACAACCAATGGGAAGAGCACACGCTTGATGCAGCAGCTTTATCTGTCTGTCCTCTCATTGATGACAAAAATCAGACAATCAGCACGCAAGAAATTTGCAAGTTATTGTAAAAATATATATTGGTGGTGTGGATGAAAACTAAAGACACAACTGTACCTGTAACCCTTGCTGTCTTTCTGCAATAAAAGTACTATCCATGTTACCAAATACTTTCTTGGGAGGCAGTGGAAGTTCAATACCAGAGCTCTGTGGTACACAAGCAAACATTCATTTATCAGATTTAAGGGATAATCAATGGACTACTTCGACGATGGCCATCAAAGCAAGAGGACAAAAATACGTAGGGAGTTTTTGTGTGTTTATCTGTCTTTTATAGGTTAGGTGATAGATTTGCAGTCTAAGTTTGTCTTTGAACCCTTTGAATGTCAATAAGCATTACAATAGCACAGGTAGCACAATCTCTGAAAAGTGCAACTAGTATCCAGGAATTCGCCAAAGGGTGGTTTGATTATAGATTTAAATACTCCTCCCTACGACAACAGTATTATCACTAAACTATTCACGTGGTCAGCGGCTTAAATGAATTTTTTTATTTAACGTAGCCTGTCAAAAAAAGGAGCCACACCCCAAAAGCCTGCAAATTTTGGCATTTTCTGAAAAATTATTTTTAACCCTGTAGCATTCACAAACATTCACAACTCATGTTAATACCTAGGATATCAGAGCAGTAAAAGAATCGTGCAGTCTTACCTCAAGTATAGAATGCAATGCAGCAAAATCACTATATCTGTGGACAACCTATATATCAAAACAAAATTAAGTGCAATGTCAATATAATCCCTTGACTACTTTGATTAAATAAGCTAAGAGGGGCTGGGCTAGAATAGCATGCAACACCCCCCTACCCCACCCCCAGTGAAAAGTCTGCTCTTTATTCTTTGAGGGGGTAGGAACAATTGATTCTAGTCTAATCTGATTTACATGAGAAAGGATTCAGTTTCCCAGTGGGAAAAGACGCTATTGTTATGCCCCCTGTCATGGCTGCCATCACGTGATGGTGTGACAAAGCCTCTATGGAGTAAAAAGTGAGTCTTATAAATCAAAGATTTCTCTGTATAGGGTGGGAGAGGCAAGGGGAAGTAGGGCAATCAAAAGTTTTCTAGTTAGCTGAAAGCATTCAATTATTCAAATCTCCGCACTTTTGCAATACAAGCTTCATTACATGCTATTAAAAAGTTCAAAAAATAAGTATACTTATAAAGGGGCAGGCATGACAGAGTCTAGCCCCTACCCCATCCCCCTCAGGCAGAAATCTACTTCAAGATCCTTGACGGGGTGGGGTGGCACGGGGTAGTCTGGAGAGCATATATTAGGTACATGTTGGTATTTTCAGAATGCTGAAATGTTGAAAGCAATAATTATTATCCTCTAAGAATAGCTTCTTTTAATTATAAATGAACTGAAAGGTCAATATGAAGAACTCTTTATAGCATAAGGCGAACAAATGGGGTATCAAAATGAATCAATCAAAATGAATCAATCAAAATGTCTATAGTTACTCCTTAATTATGTAAGCATAATAAAAATCAAAAAGAATTAATGGCATACCTGCCAACTATCCTCTGGTTTTGCTCCACGCTGTACTTTAATAAAATAATCCTGTAAAACAATGCACCATTAACAAACAGCTTTTAAAAATCAAAGTGTTTTGACTATTATCAGTCAAACCACTTGAAACAGTAAACGAAATATGAGAACTTCTTCGAGTTGAACATTCTTTAACTTACAACGTGTTCTTTTTTATCAATTCCTTCGAAGACACACATTAGGGGTATAGTATCGTCTAGCACAGCCCTTCCTCGGTTCCTCCAGGCCATTTTTGTTGAATGACAAAGAGAATTCCTTAAGGAAAAACTCCAACTTTTCGGTTTTATCTTCTTGTTGTTTTATTCAGCAGCAGCTCCTCCGGCTCAATTCCTACACAGCGGTATTCACCCATCTCTATGTGACTCTGCGCATCAAGGGTTTGTGTTACTATTTGGCGGGAGAACCAGAAAGTGACAAATTGGAGTTTTAACTTTTATTTTACGTTTGATTGCCGAAATATCTGTCCTATATCATGCCTAGAGCTAAGAAGCAGGGAAAGAGGAAGAGTTTGGACTCAGATGAGGTGAGATTTCGATAGAATAAGGGTTTGTTGTGGGAGGTTTTTAAAAACTAGTCAGCTGATGTGCATGTGTTTGTTTGATAATGTTGGTAACTGAACACGTTAAAAAACTGTTTTTTAGGAAGAAGAAGAAGCGACCCAATCACAGACGCAATCACAAAGGAAGGGAAAGGGAAAGGGACCTGGAAAGAGAAGGTGTTGATATGACAATAGCCAGCCATGGAGGGAAGTCTTCGAAAGAAGCATCTGGATTGCACATGTAGATTTCATACATGTAAACTGTCAAATGGCATATGCATATACTGTAGCAATGTCATGAATGTCATAGTCACAGTGTGTGAGATCACTGATCATAATTCAGAATGCTAGCAGCACTATCACAGTACACAACATGGTTCACATTTTATTTTAAATGGAGTCTCAAATGTGTTTTCCGACAAACGTCATGGAATAAAGACCCTTTGCCACTTACCGTTATGCATCTGTTTATGTTTTGAATCGTGTCACCACTGAAAAAACAATTCCAACCTCTTGAATAAACTCTTAAATAGTCCCTAAAGCCATAAAATAATGTAAAAGAATAATTATCAATTGTGCCTTAGTGCTATGTCGGAAAAGGATTTAATATGAAGTTATTATTCAATATATGAATCTTTGAATTTCATGGACCACGAAATTCATCTGTGACTGCGGTGCATCACTGTTAAGTGGCAATGGGTCTTTAATATTGACATCCTTCAAAACCCTATTGTATGTGTGCTTAGCCTTGAATTCAGGTGTTGCTTGTTTTGGTATTCTAATTTCTGTTTTTGTTTACCGTAAAAAGCCTCATATACAATGGAGTTTTAAGAGTCAGCAATAGGGTTTTGGTGGATGTCAATTAAAGTATTCCATGACATTGTCGGAAAACAAATCGTCAATCATAATAGCAAATAATATGATTCCTCAGATGCTATTGAGAGGCACTGCTATTTAGTCCCACCTCTCACTCTCTGGCACCTTTCAACAAATCTCAAACTTTTCCAGTTCCTTAATTGCATATCTATTCTTCGTTTGCATGTTAAGTCATGTTGGTACCATTTAACAAAAGATTTCTCTTTAGCATCCATTGTTAACGGTACCACAATGGCTGCCATGTTTTTGTCTTTTAACTCTCTTGGGAATGCTTGCAACCCAACAATATGGTTTATTGGTTTCATTCAGAATCTAAAATCCCCACACCCCACTTTTTCTCATTTTTTAAAAAAAATCCTCATTTTCTCTAGTACTTTATTGTTCTTTATTGAAAAATATAAAATGTGTCTAAAAATAACGATGCCTTTCATAGAACACATGATGATGATGATGCTTCACAAGCTTTTCAAAGCCAAAAAGAAAAGCTCAGTGGTGCAGAACTTGATAGAAAAGTGAGTTATCATGATTTTTATTTCACTATACTTAGTGGAGCAAGATTTCTTATTGTACTTGAAGAACTGATAGATCTTTGTACTTTTAAAATTAGTAATGGTACTGCAGCTGTACCATATGTTGCTGTTGCCTTGACTACCCATTGTGATTGGATAAATTACTGGAAGCCATTCTGACGTTATGCAGCATGCTGTACTATGTATGTGCTGTAAGTCAGTACCATTCTTGTTGCCAAATGCAATATGTACCCACTATGTTGGCACAATTGGTTACAAGTAATATGATATACAGTATGTCATGCAATCTAGTCTATTTCAGCCACTGCTAAGAAGGCCTCAAGTTCCTGCATTCTCTTCTGTCATACCTCATTTTATGCTATTATTATGTGTGGCAAATTTTCAGACCTTGTTATTGTTTTATAAGGTTGCTGAGACAGTCAGGTACTTATTGTTCTGTGACAAGAAGAAAATACCTATCAAAAGAGCAGGTTAGTAATTTGTTCTGATAGATGATGTTCACAGTACACACCCTATCCACCCAAATTCTTCCAAAAACATACTTATATTACATAACATACAGGCGTATACTACAATACAATAATTATTATGGATATCACAATGCATATATGGTATACTAATGCTTTGTTTTTGTACACCTGCTAACAAAACAGATATTTCTAAAAATGTACTTCGAGAACATGCCAGATCATTTCCTCAAGTAATTGAACAAGTTAAGAAACAGCTTCAAAAGGTATGTTAAGTTAAACTCCCATCCTAAACTCCCAGCGCAATGCAGGAAAGTGTCTCCACATTGAATGTTTTCACATACATGTACTTCTATGCACTGGCTTAGTATTCGCAGTAGTTTTACGAATGCTTGGCTAATAAGATTTGTTAATGTGCATAGAAGAAACATAATTTTCTAATAACTAGCATGCTCAATAGCATTCTATATATTTTGAGACAACTAGAGATGTATACTTGGTTGAAAGCTGGAATCATTAAATGATGAATTGTTTTCTAATTTCTAGGTATTTGGTATTAGTTTAGAAGAGATAGAGGGCACAGGAAAGACAAAGTCATACATACTGATTGAATCCATAGATTGTGAAGAAAAACATGGCATGATAGACTGGTAAGAAAATACTTTCTGTATCCATATTTTGGCATCACTCTACTTTATATCCAAAAACATATCACCTTGAACAACTTGGACAATGTTTTCAATTTTAGTTGACAAAAAAGTGGCTGTTACTTAAAAGGACAAACTTACAGTGTGACTACTGTATTACAACTGGGGCCACTTAAACAACGAGAACCAATCAAATTGTAGAATGAATTTGGAAACAATGTCAAGCCAATGTGAGCCAATAAGAAACCTAGGCTGCACAAGAATGGTAATTTGACCCTGATGTTACTTGTGAAAAAAAAGAAAAACTGAAAAAAGGACAATTTTCTGATTGGCTACCAAAAGTTGGAATGTCTTGGTTTCATTGTACAATTTGATTGTTTCTCACTGTCTAGGTTGTCCCAGTAATAGTGGTTGCACTGTGGGACTGTATTATTGATAGATAACCGAGTGACTGTATGGTTTTGTTTTTTGTTTTTCAGGGGGAGTGACTCACCAAAGATGAGTCTACTTATGGTTATATTAAGCCTAATATTTATGTCTGAAAACATGATTACTGAAGGTGATGATGATATTATGGAATTATTCTATTATGAGCATTTCACTTTATACTATCATTACATATTGCCTGTATTTGGCTAATCGGCTAACCTAAGATTGGCTAAGATTCTACAAGGCATTAAATTGCAGCTATTACTGGAAGTGATGTCTATTGATAGCAACCTATAATCAACATGTAATATTAAATTAGTAGTAGAACAAAATTGAATTCATTACTTTTTGTTTTACTTTGACTGTCATTCACTAAATTATACAACTTTGGCTCATGAGCTAAGTAAACTGACTCTATATTATTTTGGCCTAATTGGCTAACACCAATCTTACTGGGGTAAGAAATGGGTGCAATGTACCTCGAAGGGGACCCTGTGTTGTATTGCGTAGCACCAGCCTATGAGCCAAATCTCAAATAAAAACTTTGTCTTACAATAATGACTATACACTATACTATTGTCAAAGTATCCTATAATATTTTTTACAAGAAAATGTTTGGATTTTTGTTTCAGCTCATCTTTGGCACACATTGAAAAAGTTAGGACTAGAACAAAAGTAGGTACTCTGCGATTATTTCAAAACCTTGACTATCAAGTGACTATCACCTTGACTATGGCATGGTGGTAAAACGCTCAGTGTTAATACAGTATGTAAGCCAAGTTGGTTGGTTGGACTCCAAGGGTTATCTCGGTCTCCCGATTTTCCCTTCCCTTCTCAAATCAACCCTAACTAATTCAAACTGGTTAGAGCTGTGCACCTGGTTCATACATGGACTGTATAGCAGCTGCCAGAGTAGTCTTCACATGCTTTCAGTTCGACCCTTTTGAGCTGTGCCACTGCTGCACTTGAAGTGGTGATTTGCAATAATGATTTTTTTCATTTTTTAATATCATTATTATTCCTTAAGAAGATATAACTAGCTAAAAACTAGTGTGATATTATTCCCTAAGATGGTAGAGTGAAGGCATTTAACATGTGAAATAAAAAATACTAGTCAACGTGTAATAGTCAAATAGACACAAGAAAACAATGGAATTAAGGTCTACTAAAGTGTATTAGTCTAAATATCTATTGCACGGGTTAAAGCCTTCACTCTTTTAATAACACTGCATTTTTTTGCTTTTTTAAAATTATAGAGTAGAGCATCCAGTATTTGGAGATCCAGAAAAAATGATATCACAAGAATTTTTAAGACAAGGGTAAGATGAATCGTTTGTTTATATGGTTCTAAAATGGTTAAAATTGTGAATCAAAAGGGAAAGATAAGAGGACAGGCATACAGGGAGATGGAAAGAATAATGAAAAGATAGAATGGAAGGGGCAAATGAATGGAAGAACAGGCAGACAAACAGATTGATGGATAGATGTATGGGATGGGTCGAGACATATGGAAGGACAGAAGGACAAATAGGCAGACACAGATTGATGGATAGATGGATGGGATGGGCTGATGTGAATGAATGTGGTAGATAGATGAAGGAAGGACAGAGAGCCAGATTGATGGACAGATGGGTAGAATTGGTTGAGGTGAGATGGGACAGATGTAAGGACAGACAGACACAGATTGATGAATAGATAAAAGGGATGGGTTAAGGTGATGGGATGGGTGGATGGATGGAACTTGAACAGAAAGCCAGATTCATGGACAGTTGGAGAGGATTGTTTGAGGTGAACAGATGGGATGGCAGATTGTTGGGATAAGTTAAGGTACTGTAAATGAATAGGATGGATGGATGGGGTGATATGATGGAAGGATTCATTGCTAGAAGGAGGAAAGGTAAAAGTGATTAGTAAATCTAGAACTGGCAGATAAAAATTTTAAAAAAAACAGTTCAATGTGTGAATGGGATGGCATGTGTTGGGGTGAATGCAAGGGATGGTTTTTTTGTTTTTTTTTGATTGGGTGCATATATAGAATGATGTAGTTTTACGGAGGTGCTTATATGCCTGGTAATCAGTGCTTATATGCTTTGGTAATCAGTGCTTATATGCTTGCTTTTGGTAATCAGATATATAGAGAAGAAGAAAATTGTAGGGGGAGATGAGACATCTTATGAGTATCGTTGGGGTCAAAGAGCATTCAAGGAGACATCAAAAAGACAAGTATTGGAGTTCATGTCCGAGGTAAGACTTGTTAAATTGTTTTCTTTCATGTCCTCTTACTGTAAAAGCCACAGCTCGGTTAGCTTAGGTGGTAAGGGCATCAGTCTGTCGTAGGATGGTCTTGGTCATGGTGACAACATTCTTCAGTGTCTGTGCCTGCACTACAAAACTGAATGGGTGGGAATGGAAAAAAATATGAGATGGAAAAAAATTACTTCTGCAAAAACAGCCCATCAAATCTCCCATGATGAGCCATTTTTTGACTCTTGGAGAAAACAAGAGGAAAATAGGATATGTTTAAAGTGCTACTACGATGAAAATCACTCAAACTTGGATTCAGCTGAAACTTC